AGTTTCCCACCGAAAAAGGCTTGTTTCCCACAAAAGAAAAAAACGATCTTTGAAAAGAAAAGAAAAGTCAAACTGCTTTCCCGCAAACCCGAACTTGCAACCAAAATTTTGAATTTGGATCAAATGCCCAAAGTGTAAAACGGCTTTGTGGTAAGTTTTAGCTCTTTATAGTCAGCCAGTGACCACAAAACGGATCGACTAGCGTTTTTCGGCAAAGTGGGTTGGGGTGGTTGCCTCTAAAAGTATGCTCGCAAGTTGTCTTGGTATCGTTATGATGTATCATATTTTACCGAATGTTCTCACTTACAGCTTAGAGTCAATCTGATCTAACTCGGATCCTTTTGTTTGTCTACAGGCTTTGAAAATCCTTAAGACGCCCGAATTTATGCCGTATGTAATATTTATTGCCTCGCCTCCGCTAGATGACCTGAGGGAGATACACAAACGCGCTACTTCAGAGGGCACCATTACCAAGAAACAAACCGTAAGTGCAAGAGATGTATGAAAATAACGTAACAAAATGAATTCAACTTAAAGGCTTTTTCATGGCGCTCACCTCCGGCAGAACATTTCACACGTTTCGGGAGGAAGAAATATTCGAACTGCTGCCTAAAACTTAGAAAGAACAGCAAGAATACAACTTGACGGATGACAACTGTTTTTTGATCAATATCTGTTAGACTTAACATCTGTTTACGCCCTGAATTTGCCGAGGAATAGGCAACTTAAAATCGATCTAGTTAAGCATCTTTATTTCTTAAGTAAGAATTATTCTGAAGGAATGACTAGAAAATTATTGGCGTAGCCTTTCACCTGATACGATGAATTATGCAGATCTCGGAAGGTATCATCGCCCTGGGCCTTCGGTCCTTCGGGCCTTCGGTCTCGAGGGATAACACCCTCCTCCATTCGTCACTTCAGAAACGAGTAAGGAAACTGGGCCGAGTTAACTTTCGCAAAGACTTCTGGGACTAGGGATAGGGGAAAAAATTGGCCAATAGGGTGCTTAAGCAACGACGGCGGCGACGGTAACGAAAACGGCAAAAAAGCAATAGGTTTAAATTGGAAAAACACCAACTTTGCGCGTCACGACTACGACGTGAAAGTGCCTAATTTCACGTTTTGTCGAGGACGGGAACGCAAGACGACAACTTTCTTTTTCTTTTCTTGACCTTTGATAGGGTCCTTTAGAATTCAACTCTTAGACAATTTGGCAACATTTGACCAATTAAACGAGGTGGAACAACGCGATAAAGTTTGAGGCAGCGCGAATTCACATTTTAAGTGACGTTTTTGTAGCCGTCGCCGTCGTTGTTGCTTAAGCTTCCTATTAGGGACTTTAAGATCCAACGACGCGGACGGCAACGAGAACGTCAAAAAAGCAATTGGTTTGATAAGCAAAACAACAACTTCGCACGTGCATCACGCTTTTTTGTACATTTCTTTCCTGTTTTTGCACGACTACGACGTGAAAATGCCTAATTGGGCGTTTAATTGAGGACGTAAACAAGCAACGACGAAATTTTATTTCTCTTTCTGAGCTTGGATAAGGTCGCTTGAAATTCAGCTTCAGGAGGGTTCGCCTACATTTGATAAAGTAAGAAGGGAGGAATAATCGCTATTAAGACTGAAGGAACGCAAATTCACTTTTTAAGCGACGTTCTCGTTACCGTCGAGTCGTTAGGTCTTAAAGTCCCTAACAGCTGACCGGCGTGTCCCCAGTTACGATCCCATAATCAATTGCGGGAAGCATTTCGGTTCCAGTTCTCTTCTTGTTTATGAGTGGCGAATGTGCATAATTCTTCAGATCGTACTCAGCCTCATTCAAAAATTACTAAACATTTTAATTGCTTATGTTACCTTATCTTCTAGGACGAAGATCTTCAAAGGACAGTTGAAGAGTCGGAGAAGCTTTACTCTACTTACTCGCATTATTTCGACTGTACAGTCACAAACGATAACATTGATGAAGCCCTCAGAGAACTCAAGCGCCGCATCGAGGCACTCAGCTCTGAGCCACAGTGGGTACCGGTCAGCTGGGTCTACTAGACTTCGTGTTATCTTTGGAGTTTTGTACCAGATGTAAAAGAATTTAGTCGTTATTGACTGAAAACCGACAAAGTTACACTCGTACGTACAAGAATAATGTATTTTTAATTCGACTGGTGTTACGAAATATATCACGCTGTTGTAAGAGATTCGTCTGTGTTTAACCTAAGATATTGGAGAATTTTTTTAAATATGAATAGCAAAACGATGGCATCAAAGCCGTTAGTCATTATGGGCGACCAGAGAAGTCCGCAAACCTAATCTCCAGGTTGCTATTACGCATGCTTGGTGGCGTGTCTGCTCTTCCACTCAACTCTAATAATTTGTAAAGACAAAACAAAGGGATCTTGGCGAACTTTATTTTTGAACAACTCCTAGTCTTTCATGCAGCCTTTTGAGAGTTGCGTGACGAGACAAGAACGGCTGCGTGACAGAGACTAGACACCCCCATCTTCAGGAGTACTTCTCCCCTCCCCCCCACCCCTACATATAGGATAGAACACTGACACACTTGTTGAATGTATTACTTATCACTTTAAGATTGAAACCACAGACTCTCATTTTACTGTAACCTGCGGCGGGACTCTTTATAATATAAAGAAACGTTGTGGCCAATAATAGGCTATTGTAGCCTTGGTTAATATAACAATAAGTCACCAACAGTTATTAGCTGGTGCCAACATATATAGGTAACAAAGATTACTAAGGTCCTGTAAATGTTTGAGGAAAGTGTTAATTGATCGTCTCCGGTCGTTGTCATAGCGACTGCTCATACGTTTGGAACAAGTTTCATATTTGAAACTTGTAACTCCATCTGTTTCGCTCTCTTATTAAAGTATTTAAGCACTTCTCGTAGGTAGCCTGTGTGAAATCGTCTCGTCGTTTTTTATCTTTAGATATTCTTTGGCTCAGTTATGATTTGGGAAGAAGAGCACAGAACGCGTCATCTAGAAAGGAATAGGAACTTTATGAAAACGTCACTAAAAAATAGACTTCACGTCCTTTGAAACTATTTGGCTCGTATACCAACTCACCTGTTTACATGAAAGTAGGCCAGTTAGGATGGAACTGAAGAGAGAGAACCACGTCTTAGTTCAGAGAGAGATGGTAAAATTTATCGCCTTTCTGTTCCCTTTCTCAAGTCAACTCAAAATTTGGTCATTTCGTGTCGTAGTTGCGAAGGGAAGGCAAAGAAATGTACAAAAAAGCATGATGCACGTGCAGAAATGTTGTTTTGCTCTTAAAAACAACTGTTTTCAGACGTTCCCGTTCAACCAAACTTCCATATTTCACAGTTCGTGTTACTACACCACTAACCTTGCAGACTCTCTATCAGTCTGGGTACATAATTATGCAAATATATGTAAGGGTTGTGAGTAAACTCTTCGATCTCGCATTCCTTTCTGATGACGCTTTCCTCACTCCCGTAGCCGAAGTAAAAGCCAAACTATGTTTTCAGGTCTCAGTATGACGCTGGTGTAAGACCACCTCCTATTTTTCCACCCGGGTCCACCCCCATTATAAAAGATCCTTACGCCCCAACGATAATCCACTGTATTACCTCAGTTTGACATTGCTATCAAACTAATTAACAGAGAATGTTTTTACTTGTTATCAGTGCAATACAATACTGTAGTTAAGCGCTGTAGAGTTAATAAGCGGAATGAGGTTTGGACTGCAACAACGGTATCGTGTGATTGCGTTTTATGCTTCCCTACATAATATAGGGCTATGGACAATCAAAACGCTTGATTAAAGGTGGACGGAATAAAACTTAGATTTTTTTTGTAGTGCGCTGAGTTCTAAACTGACCTACTCTGGCTGATATCATTTTCGCCGCATAAGGTTGTGTACCGGGGTTGTGTATCTGTGATCGATACAAAGACTTCCGGCTCACTTGAAGTGACATTCATTTCTTCCCGAATTACCCCAACTTGTTCTCTGTCTATAAACAAGCTCATTTCCGAGTTGTTTGCTTTGAAAGCTGTTAAGTATTACGACCGTCGTAAAGAACAAGAACGTGAGGGAAAGTTAATTGTGTTAACGATGTCTTGAGAGTGCAACAAACTACAAAGTGTCGCGTCCCTGGCGGGGATGAAGCATACATAACCTCCCAGGTAGAAACCGGTCAGGAGACGAGTCAGGCCATTTACGTCAGAATTTACCAGTCCTGTAAACTTGAATCAACAAAGTTCAGCGTCAATTCATTTAAAGCCCGGTATATTAGTTCAAATGCCATTATAGATTTATCACTCCGAACGATTTTCAATAATCGAGTGGGTGATTTGTTGACCAACCTACGACCATGTTTGCATATCAGGACAGTTAATTAACTATATTGTCAATTTGAAGACTTCGAACAGCATTTCCTATCAAAATGCTGCATATTTGAGATGACCATTATCGCAGGCGTATGCTGATTGTGCCATCTCTCGATGCAAACAAACTCTCAGCTTTATGAAATAGCTCATTTTCTTCCAAGAGTTATCTCGTTTTCCATCGCCTTTTTGGTCTGGGTTTTTTCTCAAGTGGCGGCGCGCTCCAAAAGAAAACAATAGAGATCTTAATGATTTTTCCAGCAGAAAGGATAATATAGGTAAACGTCGACTTAACTTGCATTGAAACTACAGCCTGAGTTACAGAGAGGCATTAACTACAAGCAAAAGAGGAAGATACGAAAGTGACAAAACGATTAAGGGTTATTGTAATTGTCCTGTTAGTAAGTTGGATACGCGTGGCTCAATTCATCAATTTGTAGGAAAATATCAAACGGGCTCGCTTTTTTGTGTGTTACTGTGCTGATGTTTGCGCCAAGCGGGTTAATCATGGTTCGGAAGGGACAAAAGACGCATAGACTTCAAGAACGAAATATCGATGAACGAAATGAGACATCGTCTTCAATGATAAGTGGATTAATTTCCACAGAGCAGCCGACAACAGTGTCAACAGGAATGCACCAAGCGGGACGAAGCACAAAGGACACAAATAACAACTGGGAACCTTCTAAAGCCAAAGAACATTCATTGGAGTTTGGAAAACAGGTTACAGGTGCCATAAGGATCACTTCCTCTTCGACATTACATCAATCGACTACGGGATTGTCTACCTCGGAACATGAAGGTATGATTTATATATGGGAGTGGAAGGCGGCAAGGGGAGGGAATTAATTACAGTTCAGGGCCGGGTTGTTCAAAACAGGGTTAAGTGAACCCAGGGTTGGTGCGAAATTTGAATTCAGATATCAAAGTTTAAAAAGCAAAATCAGTTTTATTCTCTTTGTCTACAGTTTGATGACTGGATGGCCTAAAAAGAATAAAGAAAATAATCTTGGAAAATTCTTTTGAACAAAAGAAAAAGAAAAAGAAACCCGGGTTAAAATTTAACCATTGTTTAGCGCTAATCGGCCTTCGAAGTAACTGGGCCCAGGTGTCTGGTAGAGTTATATTTCAGCTTCAAGCGTAGCCCTGAAGATTTATACAGTTGTTCCTGGTTAGATTTCTTATGGTCAATTTAGCTTAAAGCAAGGGCCCAGTTGTTCGTCGAAGGCCGATTAGCGCTAACCCGGGGTTTAAATTTTAATCCAGGTTTCGATATTTTTTGTAGTATTCATTTTAGAGAATCTAATCATCAAATTGTACACAATAAGAATGAAAATGAATGGCTTTTTACGCTTTTTAGTCATTTCTAAATTTAAAGTTTGAACTAGCCCCGGTTTATCTCAACCCAGCTTTATTAATCGGCCTTCCAGGAATTAGGCCCAGGTCAATATCTATTTTCAAATCTGCTGGTTTTGATATGGGGAAATGATGTGGTCGGGAGTTTGGCCAGGGGGAGAGGGGCTGCTCAGAAAGTTTAACCCGTGGAGGTCCAACCCCTCCAACCCGTTTTTATACCACCACTTTTGAAAGAAAAATAGGTACCCCTTTCGTATACCTCCTATTGGCAATCTGTACCCCTTTCACATAACCAGTTAAGAAATCTACATTCCTTTTAACTGCTGTAAATGCACCATCTTTTAACTGTGAATTAATTGCTAAACTACCCTGCCTCCAGGGGTCTGTTCTCAAAATACCCAAACAGGAAATAAACTGTGAATAGGGCAATGAAGGTCGCGGGAAATGTTTTACGCTGTTCATAGATAATTTCCTTGCATTCGATTTAAACATATGCGTTTGTTTCTAACTGAATCTTTACCTCTTTGTAGGAATACCAGTAGGATTGCTTGCTGGAGGAATTGGCGGGGGATTGTCAGTTTTGATTTTGATCGCTACTCTGTTCTTCTTAGTCCGAATCAAACGGTAAGCCTTTATTTCTCTTTATTTCTCTCTTCATGCAAGGAGCGCAGAATGCTTGCAATTATTCCGAGCTGCTGAGTAGTTCCCAGTCTTCTTCGTAAGTCGCACAGCAGCGGGAGCAGGGTGTGATGGGAAGATAGATTCCTCGCTTTCCTCCTTCCCATTTAACCCGCGCTAATACGGAGAGGTGAGTTACGACTGATGTCGAATCAGGGGTAGTAACGTGCACGCGCATCTAGACTGGGACGAGTAAACGGGCCAAGGGAAAACTGGGAAAAGTTTCATTGGTATTTAACAAAGCGCATTAAATATGACCAGAGATAATTCTAGGCTCCGTGAGCTCCCAGGAAAAAACTTCATTGCACGTAATGGCACTCTCTTAGTTTAAACATTCATGTCTTATCAGTTGTGCATTTGATGCTGGAAATGAAGCTAGCTGGGAAAACAAAATTCCATATAAATTTGTATAGCACAATCAGGCCCCTTTTAATCTTATCAACGTACGAGAAGCATTGTAAGGGAAAGAGTGAGGAAAACCACGCACAACACTTCATCGTATTCTCTACTCCTCCAAAGAGTACTGTTTGTGCCTTTCGATATGCTTTTAACTAGTTAAACTAATCATTACTCTAACCCGGGATCCTAGCGGCACTTACTTTCCTAAAGAGTACCCCCGGTGTCACAGTGATATGGGCATCCCCGCGTTTTGGGCATCCCTATTCCCAAAACGCGAGGGTGCCCATATCCGCTGCGAAATCGGGCTCCAAACTCGTTCTCGGGGCCTTTGCCGTCGAGATAAAAACCCTGCGAACGAGGCTGGTTGTCCAAAAAAAAAAAGAAGAAGAAGAAAAAAAAAACTTTTTAGTCAATTCCAAGAAGAACCCCTCCTTGGGCTTAAATTCCCACCGTATTTTCTTTCAGACGCAAAACAGGTGGTTTGATAGTCGCCCAAAGCAACACGGATACTTCCTTTGACAACCTTGGTTTCACCGGAGGGCGCAAAATCTCTGAGTACATGGATCTAACAGACTTGGAACTGGTGAGAGTCAAAGTCACTAACTCAGTTAAGCGAAAAATATCGGCGTTCACCAAAGAGGACCAGAAGACACGGGAGGTGTCGTGTGGACGGTTAGACCTGGTGGAGGTCCCTGCTAACACTGATATCGACAGTGACGTACTGTTAACAACTTGGGTTTGATCGTCTCTGCGCATGCTCAAATAGCAAGAAAAATGATGTTATTCACTACTTTCACCATTCTCGTCCCCAGAGCTCGTCGTTTCTTGGTCACGTGGTCCCAAGGTTACAAACAATTTAAAAATTTGCCGAGGGCTCTGGGGACGAGATGGTCTATGCAGAAATGGTGAATATAGCCCGAGTATCAGATCTTCCTAAGGGGCTAGGGGAGAGGAGATTTTAGATTTTAGATCTTTAGCTCCTTACAACCATTGTTTTCAATTTCTCCTGGGTGAATACCAGTGGTCCGTCTAAATCGTTATTTTTTTGTTTTTATTGCTGGGATTTCATTTACCAAGACAAAATGGGCAAAGATGGTTAAATGTTAGTCAAAAACTATTTTCCATTTTTCTCAAAATTTTGAGCTTTTTTCGCTGGGAGAATCATGTTTGAAAATGGCGCAATAACGTCAGCATCGGTTTTCAATCACTTCGAACTTTTTTAGTAAACTTTTAAAAAGTTTAGTAAACTAACAGGATGTTGGTAATACCCTAAACTTTCGATAGTGAAAGTAGCAACCTTAACTTTGAAGTATTTCGCTTAACTTTTGCAAATTTCACTCGTTTGACCGCTGTGAATGGTGAATGTAGCTGGACTTTTTCACCTAAAACGTGCGCTCTTATTGGCTACCTCGAAGTCACATGACGTTTAACAGTGAAACTTTTTCCCGCCAAAAGTTACTGGGCAAGCGACATGGCAAACTCTGTGACGTCACAGGGTGACAGTGCGCTGCAGCCTCGTTCAGGATTGATCTCTTTTCTCTGCCTTCCATTTAGTGGTGAGTGGAAAAGAAACCCTAGCCTGGGAACCAGGCTGAGTGCACTGTCGCCGCCACGTCGTTTTTGTATTGGGTGTACTATGTACTTACGTCTCGTTTTCCATGAATCTCGATCAAGTTTCGGCTCGGGAATGAAATTATTGGGAGGGCGGAATAAGAATCGGAATCGAAAGGGACTTGCGTTTTCGGGTGGTTAATTCAAAATCGGGGACACATACAGCTGTAACGTAAACTCACCAAACTTAACCAGCCACGCCTATTCCCTGGTTCTCTATTTAGTTTCCAAAGGGCTCACATTTCAACTTTCTATTCTGGATGTTCGTAGAGTTGACTAACCTGACCTTCCAAGCCAAAACGCAGTAGAAAACGACATCCCTTGTTTTAGGATCCTCACAGAATACGCACACTTCGATAATGATTCAAAACGCAAGGATAAAACATATGAAATACATACGTATGTATGTGATTGACGAATCTTCTTTGACTGAGCCCCGTACCCAAAAACAATCTGTCAGCAGCAACTGCCCATTAAAATAACACGTTGAATTCTTGATTTACGTGATATTTATTATTCCTTTCAAATCCACAGGCGTTACAATCATTCTTAGCTCAGTACACACTTGCCTGCAGAACAAGCCCAATTTTTTTCGCGTTTTTCAGGCAAGTGGAGGCAAACGCGAGGTGGGCATGGAGGGCGCGAGACGCTCGTGGTTTGGAAAGACGCGTTTTTTTCCCGCGCCCCTTCCTCCGCGTGTCTTGTGCCGCATGTCCCCTGTGCCTTGGCTCACCTAAACGCACAAAATAAACGCCCATTCTGAGGGCTGAGCATTTTTTCAAAAAAAAAAAAAACGTACTCTGTAGCTTTCGTTTCCCGTATTTTTGCTTGAAAAAAAAAGCGAAACAAAATACTCAGAGACAACTTAAAGAAACTTATAAATTCCCTTGAATATTCCTACTAGAAATCTTCATCTATAGATCTCACTTTCTTCGGCTTGGTAAGTTTCTGCAGCATTTCATCTCCCACACTGGAAGTGAATCTCTGAGCTACACTGTCCAGACCCGATGACATCGCCAGGTCATACGCTGTCTGTCCTGCGTCATTTGCCACATTGGTACGCGCTCCCAGCCCTAGCAAAGCATCAACACACTTCAGTCCACCTGCGCCAAGGAGCACTGCTTCATGTAAAGCAGTATTTCCTTTGGTCATATTTTTGGCATTCAGTTTAGCGCCTGCGTTTACCAATAACGGAAGACAGTCTGAGTGCTTGTTGACAGTTGCAATAATGATAGCCGGATTCCCATCGGCTGACACACACTCAGGATTTGCTCCTTCGTCAAGCAATCTCTGCACTTCGTCTTCTCTTCCTTCCCCTAAAAGAAAAATTAGACAAGAAATAATCACTTAGATCGTTTATTTCTCTTATGTTGCCGCGTATTTGTACATCTTTTGGCCGAAATTGAATAGCTTACAAGGGCCTGCATTTTGTGGAATGCTTTCACAAGAAATGGTGTTTTCTGGTGGTCCTGGTAAACGACCTAGGATGCACAAACTAGGCTGGGCATAACCGGCATTTTTAGAATCTTATATGTTGATGAAACTTCGGTCTAAAAGTCCTATTTTGCAGAATTTACGTTTACATAAACATTCCTACGTTGTAAACACAGTAGAACATCCCGTGAGCGACTACCCAAAATGCGAAGAGTTGGTGGTCGCTTACGGGGGAAGACAGGGGGTGGTCGTGCACGATAATAGTTTAGCCTGAGTAGCCAGCGTTTCCGGGCGGTTTCGGAGCAAAGAACGAGGAACGAGAATCAAAGACCGCGCAAAAAATGGCGCGACAGAAAGAGCGGGGAAGGGGTGAGGAAGAAAGGTAAGACTATTCGAGGGTGGCGCTTATTTGAGTAAATACAGTATACTAAACTAAGTACCTTTCGCTCCAATCTCTTTTAACAGTGACTTATCCTCTTCACTTAGTTTTTCTTTATAGCTGTCTTTTCCCTTTCTTTTCTGCTTCTTTCCCTTTGCTGTGGTTTTCAAACCATTTTGAGTCTGTCTCCTGCTCCCTTGCAAGTCATCCCTGCTTCCAGAGAGATTCAATGCCCTCAAACTGGAAGAGAGGGCTTTAGATTTCTCCTTCCACATTTCTTTACCATCCCTCCGCGCGAAGGTCACGGTCAATGTGACCTCTTCTCCATTCAAGTCTTCGTGAACTGTAGCGGTTATTATCTTCCCCAGCCTTGGCTCACCTATGGTAGACCTGAAATCTGGATTGTTTTGAGCATGTGCGCGAATATGAGAGCAGACATGGTCCATCTGTTGCCGCCAGAAACCCTTACCGGGACTTACAGCAGCTAGTGCTGGCCTTCTGTCTCTTGAAGCCTCGAGCCGACTCCGTTCCTGGGCTTCTAGTTCAAACTGTGACTGGATGCTGGTTGCAGAGGGGTAGAATAATCCTACCGTAGAGGTAGCTGGGGAAAGACGAAACAAAAACAGAGACATTAGGGAGCTTAAGAAAGGGAGTGTTTGAGTGTTGTACATCAACCGGAAGTGAGGCATTTTTTTCTTTTAAATTATCTTGATGCTTACAAATTAATTTGAACTTTGTTGAAGTCTCTTTACTCTCAGAGAAACGATTTGTCTGAAATTTTGGGCAAATTCACTATCCAAGAAAGCAACAAATCCACTGCCGCCTTTTCTTAAACTCCCTATTAAAATCGTTTTTCACTGCTTTACAAACTTTAATATCAAAAGCCATTTCTGTTCATCAATCAACGAGGTGAAATGCACCAAACTGGGCTGCCAAAACATGTATCCGCATTTTACAGGGAACATATTTGACAAGCATGTCATCACATGAATTCATGCACAGCAAAAATACAAATGGACATGAAAAAATACAGAAAATAATAAGAACACTATTATTTTATCGTACCACATTGTTGTTTTCAATTTCCAGACATTTGGCTTAGCCATTTTTCTGTGAAATATTGTTGGTATTGGTGTCACTGCAATTTTTAACTTAGTTGGGACCTCAGGGTGCAAAGAAATTCAGTTTTACAGCTTGCTTGGTGGTCGCTCATGGGAGGTGGTCGCTTACAAGAGGTGGTCACACATGGGGGTTCGACTGTAATATACCTTTATCTGCTGTCTCAGCTGGGGTTGAAGGAATGGAGACAGGCAACCAAGTTGCACTTTCTGATCTTCCTCGCGTATCATCAATGCTGCTTCTCTCAACTATAGTTCCAATCACACTTCCAGAACTTTGCCTTGAAATTCTTGGAGGGGGTTCTATGCCACATCCACAGGTATTACAGAACTTTGCAAATGCGCTGTTTGAAGCCTGGCATTGAGAGCATATCAGAGGGCTTTGGTAAGGCTGTGGTTTTGATCCGCACCAGTCGCAAAAGCGTGCATCGCTGCTGTTTACCCGAGAGCACTTGGAACATGTCATGATGCTACTAATGGAGTCCTTTGGTCTTGGGGGTGCACTAGTGCCAGTAAATATTTGCTTGGCGTTATAGGGAAGCCTTGATTCACAGGTGACACAAACTTTCAAGTCAGGTGGGTTTCCTGTGCCACATACTGAACACATTAACTTATGCGCTAATTTCTTGGTTGCCTGTGGTTGACGCTGTGGTGAGATGGGTGCCTCACAGATGATACAAGTGGGTGTATTTAATGGAACTAATGAGTGACAGGAGACACACATTCCAAGCTGTCCACCCTCTGGTGGAGGGAGTCGGGATGATGGCAACGGAGGAATGGGAGAGCCGCATTCAGAACAAAACTTTGCATAAGGGTCAGATGGTCTGGGTGCTAGACAGTAGATGCATTTTAAAAAATCTGTCTGCTGCTGAATCTTGCTAACTTGAACTCTGTTCTCGGGACCACGTCTGTCCCTCAATTCCCCGTCAACTTCAGAAGGTGACCGATCCATTGTCCCTATCGTTGCCTGATTTGATCCAAACCGTGACGTTGTAAATCTAGGCTCACTCCTTGGCTTTCGGAAACTTGAGCCTTTTACTTCTTCCCAGTTGTCAGGCGTTGACGTGAGAAATCGTTTAGAACCCCCCTCAGTTCCCCATGCCTCCGAAGTTTTTAGCTTTGACCCTTTGGTATTCTCAAGGATCTGTCCAAGCAAAGTGCCAGATGACTCCCTTAAATTCCCAGTAGATGAAGACATGCTTTGTTGAAGTTCAGAAACATCATCTGCCAGCTCATCTTTCCCCTCCGGCTCTTCAACCAGAAATGTTTTCGTGACGATGGAGCTTTCTCTTGTGCCATCACTCGATGTTGCCATTGCCTTTACCGTTCGCTTTCCCGGACCCAAAACAAACGGTCGGTTGTACTTGTAAGTGCACTTGATCCCTATCTGCTTGAAAGGTTCGGGCTTCATTCCATTAATCGTGTAGTAGATCAAAGTGTCTGGTGTTTCTGATCGAAGTTCTATGGGAGTATGAGTGTCGATCATGTTTTTTCTGCCGGTTCCTCCGAGCGGAACTCGCAAGGGCATTATACTCGGTACTTTGATCATTCCAGCTGTCATCTTGGAAATCTGTGGCTGGTAACTTTCGACGATTTTTCGTGCCCGTTAAAAAACAGTTGATTAAAACTGGCGTTGTCTTTGTGACGTCTTTTTAAGTACTTTCACGGAAATTGAACAAAAGCATTACCAGTTGTAACTAATACGATTAACATTAACCTGTTTGAAATCGTTTGTCTTTTTCGCCGCCATCTTCGAGTCCAAGCTATCCCAGGGTACTTTTCTCTCCAAGGTAAAGTAACAAGGCTTGGTTGCCATAACAATAAATCTGAGTCTATCGGCCATGTTGAAAAGTTGAATGTGCGCTACTGTAAGAAAGAGTTTATAAACAACTTTTAAAGACTGTGTGAGCGGTAAAATGTGAAAGGAAAAGCTGATTGATGCAGTTGAGTCTTATCAGGTTTCTACCGTAGTTTTCAACTGAACTAAAAAGAAGCTGATTTCGGCATAGTCTTCAAGCTGTGGAGCTGTGTGTGGTCATTGAAATATGTCTTCAAGCAACAGCCCTTCGTTGGAAAAGCCGTGGTTTCAGGACACTAAAACTGGATGTGAAAAACAAACGCATTATTTTTTACAGATCCGCAAACTTCAAGACGAACTTATTCATCGTGAGCAACACAATCTTATCAATGCCATGGAACGTCTGAAGCAACTCACATACCCGCGAAAGCGACCAATTATTCGAAACATTGACACCTCAGATCAACTATCACCTCAAAGCTTCCCTGCCAGAAATGTTAATTTGAGAAAAGTTTTGAAACACAAAGCTTTACAGGGTAAGGAAAAGCCCGAATTAAGTCCTGTGTCGGGAAAGCCTTTGATTAGAAAACCAGTGCACAAAAGACAGGAAAATTATCATCGTTTCTTTGTAATGCCACCTCTTTTGAGTGATAAAGACATTGCTAAGATAGTGCATCATGCAAATTCTACTTTCCCTTCTGAGCCTTCCACATATCTTCTTCAACCGCATCTGCCGTCCATTCCAAATGTTGGACGAAAGACAAATTTTATGAAGGACAACAGGCTAAAACTTCTGACACTGGCCGAGCCTGAGTTTTGTGACGCAGATGGGGGTAGTGTGAGTGGAACAAGTAAACATTTGCATACTGGAAAATCCAGGCAAAGAAAGAGAAGTCCAACAAAGTTCAGTTTGCAGTTAGAAGGTAACACGTCCAAGGAGAATTTAACCAAGAGAAATGGGAATGTGTTGACTTTTGATGTTGATCCTAATGATCCAAGCCTATTTTCTCACTGTGTGTCAGACGAGAAGAAAGGAGGTGAACAGTATGAAACCACTCCCTTGCCACCACCAAACTCGAGACCAAGTTCTACAAAATCAAAGTCCAGTCAAGTGCAGCTTGAGGTATCTACAAGAGATGGCAGCACTCAGGAAGATAATAGCCATAAGAAATCTGAGGTAATGAATTCTGGTACAGGGTATAACACTGCGAATAAATTTAATGAAGATAATCAAGTTGCAGAGAAGACTGAAAAGACTGATTCAAGCTTAGAAGGTGGAAGTGCAGTTATCAGTGTACAAGGTGATCAGATATCTGTTCAAAAAGATCAAATATCAAACTCACTTCCTGCTAAAAGTAGACAAGATGGTTCTGAGAATCTCACTGAAAATCAAGAAGAAGTTGAAGTGGCTCAGCCAGTGGTTACAATAATAAGTAAACCACCACCAGATGATGCAGTTCAGGCAACTTGATACATGTATCAATGAACAAATTCTTTGATCCTTAAAGTAAACTTCAGTCAACTCTCTTTTAACAGTCCCCTCTATAAAATGGACACCTAGAGTTGGTTTGTGCCTTTCTTTACTCCTTTTATTTGACTCTATAAGAGAGTCACCTCTCTAAGACAGACTCCCAGTGCTGGTACAGAAGGTGTCCATCTTAGAGAGAGTTGACTGCAGGGTCCGAAATTTTTTTTTTTCTACCGCAGGTGCTAAGCGATTTTCAGTCGCCAGGTGGAAAATTCTGGTCACCAGCAAGTGCCCGTAAAATCTTTGCTTCACAGCAAAACACACAAAAAAATGAAGTTTTAAAATACTTTTTCGCTTAAAAAATCTTCAATACTCATGAGCAAATGCAAAAGTCAGACTGCCATGTACAAAAAGGCATTATATAATTGTGTTGCTTAGAATTCTTAGTTGAAAAGGACTTTTCGTTAAATAGATAGCTCTCTTAGCTTGAAGACTGAAAATTATAATGCGACTGCCTTTCCAAGTAGTTATGTGCCACGAAGCTAACCGCCATGTTGCTCTTACCAGGTCACTTTGGAACAAAATTTTCGAACCAGCTCCCACCTTTGGTGATTTCATTCGCCCGTAAACAGTCAATGCTTTTTAGATTTTCTTACCTTGAATTATTTTCTTGCCCTGAAGTATTTTCTATGGAGATCAAAAACTTTTACAAGACAAGGGGTAATTTTCTTCTGGAAATGAAACAATATTTTTCCATTTAAAATGAAATTAATTCCTTGGACGCTGGTTCAAAACACTGACAAGGCACTGAAAGTTAGTCACCTGCTGGCAACTACCCTTGAAATTCTGGTCACCAACACTAAATTTATGGTCACATTGGCAACCAGCTGGTCCCAATTTCTGACCCTGGACTGTAGTCTGAAGTCCTTTTTAAGGATCACTGATGTTAACAAGAATGTAGCTTATTTGATAAAAGTTTAATTTTCTCTCAGTTAAAGTTGGGCTTGATTCTTGCCAGCCACTGCTCAGTAAGTAAGGAAACCAACCCCCTGAGCAGCTGGTGATCAAGCTTAGAATTTTTAATTACCATATTCAATAAAATTTTAATTATTAAAACACAAATAAAGCAAAAATTAAGTAGGGTCATGTATTAATAACCTTTATTCTTCTTCTTTGAAAGCCAGTGTCGTGTTCAGGGTTGTTAATAACTTTTCAGCTGATTTCGATGGTAGAGTCAGTGGCTTGTATTAGAAGGGGTTTAGAAATCTAGAAATTCAAAAATTATGTAGTTTACATTATGATATTTATTCTGGGTATCTTAGAGAGTGCTGTTCATGATCTTTATAAAGGGTGGAGGAGTATGTCTCTCTTTCATATTAAATAATAAAAATAAACTTTCAGGAGGCATCCATAGAGGAGGAGGCCTTGTAGGAGGTGGTAGACTTACGATTACTGGCTATTATTGAAACTCCTAACTAATAAATAGTAAAGAAATCTGTATATATATACATTATTTATTTTGTTACAGCTTTTCTTTGTTTGTACCAGAATTTATCTTTATAAACAGTAATAAGGATAGTAAATGACCATCAATAAAACATAATTTGCTGAAGTGAGCATTGAAAGTTGTTCAGTTTTTAAATTGTATTTGTTATTATTTTGTGATCCTCTCCAGTTCTTTTTCTGGGAATTCTCAGCCATGTCTCAGCAGCAATACCCAAGAGACATAACACTTTCTACAAGATTGCCTGACAACTGTCCACGTCCAAAAACATCTGGCACACTCAACCTTTCATACCACTCCTTTGCATTCTTTGAGATACTTCCAAGTACACCAATCACTGTGGGTATTACTGTCACTCTTGTGGCTCTGTGGATTCTTTTAAGATCCTTTAATTTCGAGAACCAGGTCTTGATGCTTTTCCACCTTTTCCTCCTCAGTAGTAAGGATATTTATTATTAATTATGATTATTATTATCATTATTATTATTTTCAAAACTCAAAACGTTTTTTCACTATATGCCCAGAAACTCTAGGACCCCTAAGAATTACTCAGCTTAGTGGGCAAGTGGGTATGCAAGGAGATCTGTTGATTTGGAGCCCTTTTAGCACTACGGTAACAAGGAAGTCAGTCGCGCAAAAATATTCCCCGTGCGTACCCCTGCTAGCGCTCATTTCCGCACCACACCTCCACTTTCCCCCATAATGCACTTGGATGCTCAGTGGGCAGGTCGCCATCTTGGTTGATTTGGAAGTGGCAGCGCTTCCGCTCGGAATTTTTCTAAAATCAAGTCCTCCTTTGTCGTGATACTGACCCACTTTGCACAAGAATCAAGATTCAGTGTACGAGGGATTAATTTTACTGCACGATGACGGGAAGGCAGCCGGCAGCCGTCATTGACAATGGAACGGGGTAAGTTTAATAGCAGTCGATCCAGACAAGGACGTCAGGATGCAAATTTGCTAAGGATTGGCTTCAACTTGTATTTTCGATATATCTGTCTCAATAATAATTCACCCAGAGTCTCAGATTTGCTCTTAAGTGTTATTGTCTCAGTTCATGCTATGATTTAAGTGTTGCAAACTTTGATTGGTAGATCAAAACGTGAGGTTGTGAGGTTAAGCTAATTTTTGCTACATTGAGGAAAGCACACGCTTTTACTTGGTTAATAATGATGGTAATTATTATTTTCTTGTAAAAGAAGGTTTTGCTAGAAAATTCCTCTTTACTTTTAACTGAAATACATGTATTGATGTCCATCCTGACAACTTGCCATCACAAACTGAGAACACCATTCGTTAAAGTTGTGTTTTTTCTCATAAAATTCCAAGCTATTGCTTGTCACAAAGGCATGAATGGCAAGTGCATGGGTTCTGCATTGCAGTGCACACAATAATGTTATGCACCCAGAAGGCAAACCCTGCTTCAGCCTTTCATCTGATAAGGCAGGTGGTTATAAATGACTATAAACATTGAGAATTGATCAGGAAGGGACGATAGATGACATCATAATGCCAGCACATGACATCATTTCTGCGAAAAAAAAAACACGCAAAAAAGATGTTGTTAAACTGAATATTGTAACATTTGACCTGATTGGTTTACTTCCCACCAATCACGTTATTCCTTATATTACAATGGTATACCAGAGGAAACGAGGAAACGCTCAATGAAACGAGGAAACGCTCAATGTTAACAGTAAAATAGCTCAAACAAGGCAAAATGTTGGAAATTTCACTGTTAGACAGTTGAGTCTACAAGAAATGTCTGTGCTCTGTTCAAACTCTTTCGTTTTTGCTCCAGAATGCTGGAAATGTACCCCCAAGCACCCCTAGCAATTCGCGCTTTCAGTGGGAGTTTTTTCCTCCTCCACCTACTCCAAAGCTTTTGCCGCCTACTTAAAACCTTATTGAAAACTGTGAAGATCTGGGTAGTGCTTCTGATTAGTTGAAGCAAATTTCCTTCACAATACGACCAATCAGAAGCACTTCCTAGATCTGGGTAAGGAAACCTCTTTAGTATAGAATTTTTGTGCTTTTTCCCCAGAAGCCGTTTTGTGGGAAAAGGAAAATAAGTGGTGGCACCCTGAAATGTTAGCTGTTTTCTCATGCTTAAATTCCCACAACAGTGATGCTATTTGAACTCTCTATATAAAATCCATAGTATAACAAAAAAGCTCACTGTTGACACTGAGGAGGAGGAAATTAAAAAGTAACCAATTTTTGAATTTCCTTTTCTTTATTGCAGGTATACAAAAATGGGCTTTGCTGGAAACACTGAGCCGCAGTATATTGTGCCAACAGGTTTGAAGTTTATTGAAGTTTATTGATGTTTATTGATCTCCATAGAAGTTACAGATAAAATGAAATTAAATTAAAACAGACATGTACACACAAACATCCCCTGCGCACAAATAGCTTGGCTCATTGAGGTGGGCAGAGGAAAACATTAAGTAATTTGCTAGGAAGAAATGGTAATGGTTCAGTGTGAAGGAAGAAACAGCCTAGAAAGTTTTTTTAGGCTGTAAATGTTTGAATAAAAGTGCAACATTAAATTTGCATCATATACATAATAAATCAAGGCTAGATCTGTATTCTGAAATACAGTAATAATCGTTAGCATGTAGAGAATCTTGCAGCACATTGTCAGTAGTGAGTTTATGCAACAGGACGGCAGAATGAAGAGGATGGCAAAACGCTTTAGTGTGACAACATGAACGTGACTGGGCTATTATTTGTATCTTTTGTCAGGAATTCACTTAACATCAATGTTTTTTTGCTCCTCTACAAAAAGATATTTTTAAAGGAATGTGAAGTTTGGCAGAAGGGTTTTTCAAACAAAATTATTGTCACGCTTATCACTCAATGCTTGCTGTCATCTTTCCTTTGCTGTCCTGTTACAAGTGTAAGATCACTAACAATAAAACAAAGGTGCAATCTCCATATCAACATTTATTAGCATTGTTGGGCTGTGGACTGTAAATCTTTTTTTATACGTGGCTAGGCTACTGTCTTTTGCCAAAGCCATTTACAATAATATAGACCATAAACCCTTCACATCTTTGAAAAAGGATTGGTAACCAGGGCTGTCACTAAAGGCCGATGGCCAGGGATTTCCACTGGCTATTATGAACATGACTCCTGGAAGAAGAATAAAAGCTAAAGAACTTTTTAGATGTTCAATTTCCTACCGACTTATTCATTGTTCTCCCTAAATTTTAGCTCAGCATGTCAGGGACCGTTCATGCCCAGTAAGGCAAAAAATATGTGCCAGAGGCTGAGAAATTTAGGAGCTAAGTTCTCTGAAACATCATTCCCTCATTTTAAGACCTATTTTACGCAAATCAACCATTGTTATCATTTGAGACAACAATTTAATAGATTTGATTCTAATAATTTTACTCTGTCTTCAATGATCTCTTTCCAAAATGCATGGCCCATAAAAAGAAAAGCTGTGTATACTTTACTGTGTTTACTTTAGTACTTATTCATTTTCCTTGTGAGAATCGGATTGGATCACAACTTCCTTTTCTAAAATCTACTTTTTTAAATTTTAGTAAACCTTCAAGCGGTTGCAGGTGGTAAGAAGTGTTGCTTCAGGGGGTAAATTTTACCAGTTACCGCCTTATAAGGAGAACACTTCTTATTGAGTACACCCGGAAATCTTAGTGACAGCTCTGGGTAACAATTTTTTTAGTCTAGACTGTTTACGTGTGGTGAAGTTTGTTTGTTTTGTTGTTTATAGCTATTGCAATAAAGGAATCAGCTAAAATTGGTGACAAAACACAGAGAAGAGCTGCCAAAGGCATAGATGATTTAGGTAAATATACCCTGTGTAGTAGTTGTCTCCTGACAATCCATCAGGCTTCTCTAGAAGCTTATATTGTACTT